TGGCGCCCCAAAACCCCCCACCCCCCCCCCCCCCCCCAATGGCCCAGCACGAGGAGGAGGGGGAAGAAAGGAGTGAATCCCTCAGCCTCAGCCTCTTCTGCGGCACTTCCCAACCTCCCCTGGCCCCTTGTCAGGTCAGAACAGCTCTGACACAAGGCCTAGACCCCTTCAGGCTCCCAGGATGGGGGCTGGGAGGCAGCTGAGGCCATCCCAAACAGCCCCAACCTGCTCCAGAGGGAGGCAGAAACACGAGGAGGAGGGGGAAGAAAGGAGTGAATCCCTCAGCCTCAGCCTCTTCTGCGGCACTTCCCAACCTCCCCTGGCCCCTTGTCAGGTCAGAACAGCTCTGACACAAGGCCTAGACCCCTTCAGGCTCCCAGGATGGGGGCTGGGAGGCAGCTGAGGCCATCCCAAACAGCCCCAACCTGCTCCAGAGGGAGGCAGAAACAAGGGTGGGGACAGGAGATGGGGCCCAAGAATATGGCCAGTTCATCGTGGTCAGGACTCAGAGAGGCCCAGCCATGGGGTGGAAGGTCTTTTCCTGGGAAGCTGACAGGCTCTCGGCTGCTGGAACGGGACCAGGCCAAGGCCAGGTCAAGCGTGTCTCTGCTCCCAACGACACCTCAGTGTTGGCCACCATGCAGGACTTCCCAGGACAGGGGCTGAACAAGAGTGCCTGTCGGGACCAGATTTTGGTCCCGGAGCTCAGTTCAGGGTGTAGAAGGTGCTCCCCGACTCAGCAGGTAAGAGGCCTGCAGATGGACTTGCATCGGTCACCAACCAGCCACACGTGCCCAGGCAATCACCTCTTCCAGCCCTTCCCCGCCCTTCCAGGGCGGTCGCCAGCTGGTAGCCACAAGGGATGCTGTCCAGGGAATACTCTGGACACGACTCAAGCAGCTGGGACAGAGGCTCGGCACTGGGGCCCAGCATCCAGCAGTGCCAGCCAGCAAGATGCCCACCACGCACCCGACAGACTCGGCACACTGCCCTGCCGGCACGCTACGGGCTCCTGCTGTGGGGCTGTTGGGGCGCGCCTGGAGGCGTCCACGAGCCCTGTGTGGCCACTAGCAGGACGTCGTCATGGGCCTTCTCCACGTATGCTGCAGCGCCAAGTGTGTGCTCATCCCACCCACAGGGCAGCCCAGCCTAGTGTGACTCGCCCATCTCCAGATGAGGAAACCGAGGCAGAGTCAAAGGGCTGGCCATGGTCACAGAGCTGCGGAGTGGCAGAGGAGGGGCTGACACTGTGCTCCTCTACTCTTGCGCCTCTGGCTCCCCACCTGGCCCTACCCTCAGCCAGTGCCAGGATCAGGCCTGTGGACAAGTCCTTCCAAGGGCTGCCCAGCCCCCCTTCCAGAAGGGCTTCATGGCCATAGCCCCTCTGCAGAGGACCGCTGGGGGGCACGCCCTGCCACTCAGTGCACAGCATCTTCAGCTCTAGTCTTCTACCTGTCCTGCTCAGAGGTCACACTCGGCCCCAGCAGAGGCCACATACCCCACACGTCAGAGCCCACCGCGGTGGCCACATACCCCACACGTCAGAGCCCACCGGCGCCTCCTTGCCTCTTCATGTTCGCCCTCAGCTCTTCACCCACTGCCACCACACCTCCCTCCAGACTCTGCCTTTAGGCTTTGCCTCCTCAGGCCCTTCCCGCGCTGCCCTCAGCATCATCAGTCTCTGA